AGGCCTTGGGTTCAATTCCCAGACTCAGTGTTACATGTGAGTAGAGTTTGTTAGGTCTCTCCCTTGATTTGAAGATTTTTCTCTGGGTTCTCTGGTTTTTCTCCCTCAGGAAATCCTAACATACTAAATTTCAAATCAATCTGTAAGTTGGCTCTGACTTTGACCAACCCAGAGGATGATTCAGGATTTGATCTTTGAGTTAAACATGCCCTGACATAGATCAGCCCAGAGGTTGTTTCATGGTTCAAAGAGATGGGATGAAGTTAACTGTGCAGCACAGAAAAATGGGACATGGCTTGAACCCAACTCACAGCAGAGATATTGAGGTTAGTGCTGCAATGCCTTAAGACACATGTCTCTTATTATAAAACTTCTGCTGTTTCATTCTTCAATCAAATGTCATTTTAAACAAACCTGTTCATCTTGGTTAGTTTTTGATCACATGACTGCTCAGCTGTTCGTTTATTGCCAGACAAGTCACGTCCACCACTACCAGTATAAATGAAGTCTACACCATTATCCTAAGAATGAAAGTCCTTAGTTAAGGTGAATACTTACTCTGACGACCAGGATACTGGTGATAATGCTAATTGATTCCCAAATGTGCAACAATGGCAGCTTCTCAAAATTATCATGGAAGTGATTTTAATGTAATATGAAAACACAAAAGATATAGATGGAATTTGTGGCATTTTAAAATATTATTCCATGTTAGCCTTGCATTCAAAATCATTTTGAGAAGAGTCCATTCTTGTTGATTCTAAATATTTTCTCTCTCTTAAGAATTTAATGTCTGAATTGAAGTACATTAGTTTCGAGTTCTCTGTTGCTCAATAACACTAACCCTAAGCAAATGCATCTGTAATCGAGAAACACAGGTATTTTATGAATTTGAATTCTGATCTAAATAGATAAAACTTTTAGCCAATAAGAGAGCACTCATGTCATGTCTGTTATGTAACACAATCTTACCACGTCATCCTCATATCCACCTGCCAATACAATAGAATATGCTCCTTCAGAGTCACGACCATGGATACCACTGACATGTGGTCTATGAATACCAGACTCACTGACCTGCAAAGATATAAATGAAATGTTAACATCTTTGAACATAAAGGTAGGTTTGCAGTTTTTGTTGTCGTTGAGAGGCTTTTAAAATTATAATGTATATGAAGAATTGTTTATCAGACACCCAATGCTACCATCATGGTAGCATTAGGCTGCAGCTCTAAGGATATCTAACCCAATTGGATGTATACGATAGAACGAGAAACAATATTAACAAAGCAATAGGACGAGTCAACAATGAAAACTAGTTTGTTTTTGCGACATTACTGAATCATTGACCTCCAGCTCCAAAGGCCGTGCAAAAACTAAGCTACAGCTACAGCTACAATGGCCTGCTCCTGAATAACTCCTACAAACTGGCCGAAGTAAATCTATGAGTGCTAGGGTATACAATCAGTGTAAGATGAGGCAAGTTGTTTTATATGTACATCACACACCTGTACTCTGAACTTCCATAGTGACCCCACAGGACAACCAGGAATAGGTCCAAAATGGTTAGGAGGGACAATAGTACAAACTTTGGTGCGACCAACACATGCCATACCCTGAAATTAACATCATTAAAAAGTGTAACAGTTCCAGAAATATTTATACTTTATTCTAAAGAAGGGTGTGAATTCCTATTTGAAGTAAGGGGGAGGGGCGTTTACTTGAAGGGTATGTCGTAGCACTATGGCAACACTAAGACAGGTTTACTTGTCCCTTCAAAAATGCGTAACAGCTAACTGGGAGATAAGCAAGGCTAGTAACTAGCAAGAGGTGACCATGGCAACCATGTCACACTGCATTCACAATGGAATTCACAGTTAAAGCAAGAAATGCAAGTGACTGCAACAGCGATGGCATAGCAAACCATGCCATGTGGCCAGCTGGAGAGCATGTGCAGTTTAAAGGTATTAAAACATAAACTACCTTTCCCCAATCTCTGTTTGACGTTGAATTAGCTGAAACCATCTTGGACTTTTTTTTGCTTTCTCTTAGCTTCTCTCCAGCATGTATAACCTGAATGCGAGAAAAATGAACTGATAAACAATATGAAGTAGGTACTGTTTGCAGTTGACACAGTTGGGTTATAAATATCATGTTTTTTAACAACCCATATATATAATAATGTCTCTCTGGCCTGGATAGCTCCAGAAAACTAATTTAATATTCTCATCCCATCCACAAAAGAAAGCCAGAAAATCTTCAAATTCAAATTCTGAATTTTATTGATGCTATGAAACAACCTCTAGGCTGATCAAAGTCAGGGGTGGCAAACTTACCACCTAATTCACTGAGGGAACCTTGAAACAACCTCTGGGTTGGAAAAAGTTGAGGGCACAGCTAACTCACATATGGAATTAGAATTAAGCATGTAAGGTTTTGTGGAGGTAAGAAAACTAGAAAACCCAGAAAGGAAAACCTTAGAATCAAGGGAAGAATCTAACAAATTCTGTTGACATGTGATGGCAAGATCAAGATTCAAACCTGAGAACTAAAGGCCAGTTTAGACAGTACGATTTTCACCTACAACTATCTTATACAACACGCTCGCCCCATCCTACAACTCGAGTAGTAGTGTGTAAATCAAGCCTACAACTCGCCTACGACAGACACGAGTGTTAACGGATGGGCTCCCTGTGTTTAGCCCGCGCATGCACAGGGGTTGGCCTGAGCACATGGCTTGGTGCACATCGTTGCAGTTTGAGTTTGTTCGGTTTACCACAAGTAATAAAGCATTGAGTTAACCCTCAACATGTTTACAACGAGCATGTTGTTACGATAGTTGTAGGTGAAAATCATACCGTCTAAACTGGCCCTACCACTATGCCACCATTGATTCTCAAGAAAACAACTCATGTTTTAGGTACAGAAACATCATTGTAATCCTAGTTGCAACATACCTCTGAAGCATCATTCTTGCACAAGGGGCAATACCTGAAAACAGTACAGAAACAATTCTGTCATCATAGAATCTCAATCCCCATGGCATTCCCTAGACTATAACACTACAAAAAGACCTGTAACCCTTGACTTATGTCATGCTGGTCAAACAATTTTATCTATGGATAAAATGGTCCATGGGCAAAATGACTGGATCTATACCTGTATTACAGCGCAACRTCTAAAAGTAGAGCCTGTGTATAGAACTATACCAATACATTAAACAAGGACATACTTTTACGTGTTGCACTGTAAAACGTTTTTGGGTGGATATAGATTATTTTCATTCATTTTTGTTGACATGACTGATTTTTTTTTTCAGTACTGTCAGTCTGTTTCCTGGCCATACCCAAAATTGTCTAATTAAGCTACATCAATCAGACCGTATAATCTTTATTACCAATCGTCATCATCAGGTATTTTTTCCAGAGGTGGATCAAGACAGTAGATGTGATATGCCAGATCACATTCATCACACAGCAATTGCTTATCAGGATCTTCCTTGCCACCGCACTGAAAGGTAGCAGTAATAAACACAATCACTTAGGAGGCATACAACAGGATAGATAATGAGTAAGCAATCAGAATGCTAGCTGACTTCCTTGGCATTATTTAACTGTTGCTACAAATAATGGAATGCTTACTTCATGGCATGCACAGTGCTTGCATTTTTTGTTCTTGTCATCCTTGCAGTATCTACAGTCTGGTTTATTCTGCCCTAAGGGGGACAAACCACAACTGTCATTAGAATGTAAAATCTCAGGGTGCACTGGGTCTGAGGAGACTATAGAGGCTTTGTACTACCATGCTATGGTGGCCATGACAGGAGGCACGACAATAGAGTCTTTTTCTCCTGAGAAATTGATTTCTTCCTTGTGAATCAGATAAGACCAGATTAAATTGTTTTTGCCTCCTGCCATGGCTGCTATCACGTGATGATGCAAAGCCTTCATACTCAATTACAATCTTTTAAGATAGGATGCATTGCACACAAGTACCTAGTTATCATTAAGTTGAATTTAAATAGGAAGTTTGCATGATTCATGCATTTGACTCCCACTACAATGATGCTTTACAAATTTTCTTTCTTATTCAAATTTGTATTCCCTCTTGAGAATAGTAGGACAATTGGTGCTAATTAACTGAACAAAAGAATGTGTGCAAGGAAGTCTAGTGATGGAGGTCAATGAAGCCATCATGCAGATGTCCCATTCACTTACTTTTAACTATATCAGACTCTTCATTAAGGCTGGCTGCTTGGCTACTTTCACCCACATCTAAAAGAAAAAGACGTCAATAATTGATTAGAAATTCCCAGTCATTGTCAAGTGAGCTTTACCACTGCAACCGAACAGAAACTTGTTGCAAAGATGTGAATTGGATCATTTGCACTCCCCAGAGGCTACTGACTTAACCAATAATCCAAAAATGAAAAGTCTTTTTTTGTATTATACCTGGTGATTGTTCAATCTTGAATATTTCATCCAGGAACATCAGCTGACATTCTTGTTCTACTGGGATTTCATTCCCTTCAGTTGTTCTGTAAGACATTTAAAGACAACAGTCTGTTTAATGCCTTTTTGGATGAATCGGTTTGCCCTTTAATAATCTGATACTCTCAATGAATAAATGGATGGATTTATTGGTGGGAAGGATAGATAGATCGATTGGTGGGATGGATGGAATGAATGGATGGATATGGATAGGTGGAATAGGTGAGAAAGATGGATGGTCGAATGAATGGATGGATGGATGGACGGATGGATGGATGGTTGGATGAATGGATGGATGCAAGGATGGATGTATGGATGGGTGGGATGGATGGTTGGATGAATGGGTGGAATGAATGGATGGATGTATGGATGGATGGAATGGGATGGATGGATTAGTGGGATGGATGGATGGGATGGTTGGTTGGATGGATGGGTGGGTGGGAAAGATGGATGTGATGGAAGGTTAGATAAATGGGTGGTATGAATGGATGGATGGCTGGATGAAATGAGATGGATGATTGGATGGGATGAATGGATGAACAGACTGGTGAATAAAAAATATTAATGCTGAGTCTCCTACAGTCAATATGAAGGAAACTAGTAGAAGAGTCACAGAACATGGACATTTCAGAGTCTTTCTTTGTCTAATATCAGTACTGTATTATACCCAACAACTCACCCAAGCAACAATTTCCCATAAAGGCTTCTTCCACTGCCTCTTCTAGATTCAGCACCTCCTAGGGTGATCTAAGATGAAAAAATACATATATATGATAAAGCATTTTTCTTTCTTTCCATTCATTGCTTTATGAAGTAAAATTTCCACATATAACATTACAGATAAAGAGAACAAGAATACAAAAATTCTATTCCRCTTCAATCTATTGCTGGGTTTCAATCAGCTGATCAAAGTCTTTGAATCTCATTATCTGCTCCAAATGGTGGTCAAACACTGACAACCATGTGCTGCCCGCCAGAAAGAATTCTACTGAAAACTTGAGATTCAGCTGATGAACATTCCGCAGGAGATCATATCTGCTTTATCTTAGGATGTTTTCAATACTGACACTGGGTCCAGCGTTATCACAATTATCAGCCATGCCAGACATTCATTAGTGAGTACATGCCTGAATGAACCTCTAATGTATGGTTTATACTTAAGGGCTAATGTTTATTAAGCAGCCTGTGTTCATAAGGTCAAAAATATATTTTAAAAATTCCTTGGCAAAATAGTTACTTCGGCAAAATAGTTACTTCAATACTATGAATCCTTTTATAACTTACTTGTTTGGACGACTTTCTGGTTATTTCGACATCGTACCAGAATCCCCTCTCTTTAGGTTCATCAGGACAGTAGTTTGCCATGACTACTTGACCAACCTCAATCTGGTAATAGATATATTCAGACCAAACATAACTTAGTAGTAACTACAACCGCTGCTTGCAGACATAAAACCTCTCATTAATAATAAGAGTCATTAATAAGTATTACTAATTACCTGATCCCATTGAAGCCGAGTTCTTGCTCTTGGTCTAATATCTTTACCTGGAAGTTTATTGATTTCATTTTCTTCATACCTGAAAATGTTTCGAATACTTTCATAAGAAATCATTTTCTTTTGAATATTTTCGTTATTCTTTATTCTTTTGAATTCCTTATCTTTTACTACTAAGGCTAATGTTGTTGATAAGAGTACCGCCAGATATTTTGAGAAAAACCTTGTTTGCTTACCACTTATGTCAACGGTATCTGGACAGATTCTATCTCTTTGTGGCAAAGGGTATATGACACCAAACTTTTATTTTTCAACTAAAATTTCTGTTTATTTCCTAAATGGAATGATATTAAAGCACACCTTGTGTGAAAGGGACAGGTTTTTTATACTTACTCGTCATATCTAACATGGTATAGAACAGAAGTTGGATCTGTTGGATCAGCTAGACTGAGGTCTACCACTTCTGCCTCAAACCATGCTCCCATACTTGGGTCTTTTGCATCAAGTTTAGATCCAATCTGTTGAGATAAAAAAACAAACAAAACAAGTCAATGTGTAGTTCCAGAAAATATCCATACCCATGAAGGGAATTTGTAAAAGGACCCTCAACCACGAGAAATTATAATATTCTTCCATACAATCTCACTGTAATTTTGTTCTTTCTCTGACCCCCCTCCCCCTCCAGAATTTCCAATTTCCTCTGTGGGTGGGTATGGTATTTTCTAGAACTACACAATAAACTTCAATAGGTGTAAGGATGGCAAATAGTTGTTGCATAAGTAATCAATTATTTTCATGTTGTAGGTATTGCTTACGAGTACCACTGCTGAAGCAATGAATGGGTACGAAGTTACCCACACTAGACTCATATCTGAGTGATTTTATCTTACCTTGTAAAGAGACTTTATGTCACATTTTGAAGCAGAAGTGCTTTCCTTGAAAAAAAAATCAGATAAATTATTATTTACATCAAGATTGGAGTAGCAGTATTACACTCTCCTCTCATCTCTAGGGTCATGGTTTAATTCCCAAACTCGGCATTAAATGTGAGTAAAGATTGTTGGGTTGATCCCTTCAGCTTGATTCAAGGTTTCTCTGGTTTTCCTCCCTCCATGAAATGTAACCAGCTAAATTCCAATTCAATCTGTGGGCATTGGCCATGACCAACTTAAATTAGTCCAGAGGTTCAGAGGTTCAATAAATTCATGCATACATAAATAACTTGATGTCTTATTAGCAAAGCTTTTACGAACCTCATTTGATGAGCCTGTGTCACCTYCTGGAGCATCAGTATACTTCATTTCTTCCCCAGTTGCAGCAGATTCAGAATCATTCCCATTACACATAGATTCATCCTTCTCCTTCTCCTTCTCTCTTGAGTCACTAGTATCTTGGCTGATAGGCTGGACCATGAATTGAACTTTCTCATTGAGACCAATGTTATAGTCAAACAGTGTGTGACCATGTTCAAGCTGCAACAAAAAAGGTTGAAAGTTTTATCCCTTTGTTAAATTGTTTTGTTGATTGATTTATGTTGATTGACAACACACACAAAAAAAAACCAGACCAAATCTTTTGTTCAAATCAACCACCATGGTGGCTATGATGTTATATGCACCCCAAGAACTGTACAAATGGGCAAAAACAATTCACCCTGCAGTCCCACGGTTTTCCCTATGTCCCTATGATTTTTGTTGAGGGTTGCAATATGTTTTGGACAACCCTTTGCTTTTGAACACGAGAGAAATGATTGTTCTATGGAAATTTTAATCATAAAAAATCTAAGCACTACATTTTTAAGTACAACATAGCACCAGCAAACAACAAATATTGTACTATTTTGTACAAAATAAGTTTAATAGAGTACATACCATATACCTGTGAAATGGTTAACTAACAAAATTTTATAAATTAGTGCAAAGGTTTGTAGGTCTATGGTTTACTGAACTTATTAATGTGCAAATTTGCATGATTCCTTGCAAAGCTTTTTACTGATATATGGTACAAACTCTACTCTTAAAAAATATACCTGTTTGCCTCTAAAGAAGAGTCTAATATTATTATCATCTGGAACATTAAAAGCCTTTTTGATCCTTTCCTTCAGGTCCTCGATCTTAGTAAGTTTACTAAGGTTGTCAATTTGCTTTTCTTCCTTGCCATCAAAAGTGCGAGCCTTGATCCACATGGTGACGTCTGTCGATGGTGAAAACATACTATTCTGAGATTATGGAGTAGTGGAACAGAGAAATTTAAAGATGATTGCAAGCATGCTTATGAAGACATAAATCTGGGAGAGGCTGATGAAGAAAAACTCAAAAATGTATCAATAGCCAAATGGATTAAGAAGTACTTGATGGGGAAAGTTAGATTTACTCTATGAAGCCTAGTAGTATTTCTGGGGTTTAGTATGATCACTTCATGTTCTTTTTATAACTCTCGTTCAACAAAATTTTCATTTACTCTCATTTAATGAAGTAACATTTTTTAATGTTTTTAATAAAATAAATTAATGTTTACTTAAAAAATATCATGAATAGAATTCCTGGAATATATTATGCACATGGATTAAAGCATATTATGCTAAGTTTTGAGTGTACGAGTGAATTATAAATGGATATACTAAGAAAGTAATGGTTAATTGGTTTTATACAATGGATCAAATACTGGAACACCCAAGGAACACACACATATATTTGTGGAAGAAGCATTCATTTGAAGTCTGTTCATTTAAATACATCACCAAAGATAATAGAATTGACCATTTTGAGCAATATTGCTACAGTATGACAGATAAAAGTGTAATATAACACTAAAAGTTCATTATAATCTTAGACAAAGATATTGTTGTGACATTTTGGCATGGTAAATGTGATGAGTTTTTTATATCAGGCATGGCATTGCTGCCATGACTAGAGACACAATGTCTGCACAACTCCTGCGCACAGAGAAAACATAGTCCTTTTCATAACTACAGCACAGATATCATGATTAATATGAATAAAAATTATAAAAAGTAGTTAGATTTGAAAACGTCTGCATGCATTTCATGGATAAATTTTAAATGTTATTTTTTTGGTTTAGATAAAACACTAATTTATTCTAAATGGATGTTGTTTGTGCACTTAGACTTAAATAATCCTGACGACTTGGGCTTGGCTGTGTATAAATAAAAGTTAATAAGCAAAAGGTCACAGGTTTTAGTGAAAAAACAAACTTGTTTATAACTCTTCTTTATGATACCATACAAGAACAAAGTTTAGAGCCCCTTTTAGATGACCCTCCTAACCATTATACATGTAAAGCATTTCCTGATGGCTTGGAGCCAAAGCATTTAGGCATGTTAGATACTCAATGGGCCTTAATACATCAAAGCAGCGTGTGTCTAATGTGTATTCACTGAAAACTTGTACTTCGAAATGCGTACAAAACTGAATCACAAACAATATTACTGATTGAAGCCGATCTCGTTTTCCAAAATTAAACAACGTTTGCTTTGCTTTCGCTGATCACGTACAAATCTTGCTTTCACTGAAGTGATTTTGGGCCACCCAAATCGAAGTAGTTGAATGTAATAAAAAATAAAATATTAAGTAAATGAGTTAGTTTTGGAGTTTACATGACAAAACATGTCGAAGCGCGAAGTTTGGAAAGTTTTTTGAAGAAACCTAGGCAAGAATTTCGACCAGGAAAGCTGTATTATGCTTTTATGCGACAAAGAGCACTCAACACACATGCAATTGCAAAACGTGACATGCATGCAGATCTAGATTTAAACTACAATCAAAACCTTAAAAACCCGTAGATCTTTAGCACAGACGTGCTTAGACCTACTAGACCTCACCCTCTTTCAATGTATCCCACCGATTTCAAAATCTAGCTGCAGCCAAAGTAGTTCTTACCTCTAGTAATCAGAGCGTCCTTCTACAATGATCAACACAGAGGTCAATTTTCAACGAGTTCTAAAATATTCGATTTGGCGGGAAAACCCCACGTGACCTGATTCTTAACCAATCAAACAATTAATGGAAAAAAATTGCCAACTTATTTTATTTTAACAAAAATCTATTCTAAAATCTATACGTCCCTAAGTTACTTCAAATTTATGTCAGAATTTATTTCTTTAAAATTTTATTTGAAAAATTTCTAGAGTGAAATATTGAGAAAAATTTAGTTCCCAGTCTGTTTCGGTGCGATAGTGACGCCCGCCGAATATTATTGCTGCAGAGAAGCGCACTTTGCCGTTCATTTGAAGAAGGAGAAGAAGTTGAGAAGAAGTTTGAGAAGAGTTTTGCAGATTTTTATTATAAAAATGCCAGTTTGTGAACTGTGTGACGGCGAGACATTTGAATCCAAAGATGGTCTTTACTACTGTGTTACTTGTGGTACACAATCTCAGGTGAGCGGTTAGTTTTACTATATTTTTTAACCTCAACATGAATGAAAAATTTAGACAAAAGTTAATGATGACTTGGCTTTTTAAAACTTGAGGGTACAGGGCTAATATTTCTGGTTATTTCGTTTTTTTGAATGACTATTTAACGTTTACGACTTGATAAAGACGGACAGGGCGTTATTGCATGTTTTACATGCCGTTTTTTTCCTGCGTGATGCGTAGTTGCTGGAATCCCAGTTCTCTTTGCTCAGCCTTAGTCTCGGTTGTGCGCTATAACATTCAGTTATTCAACCAAAACCTGTCCCAATTTAAATAACTCGTATTGTTCCGTAGTTTGTACATTCCCTACTATACAGTGGACCTTAATAAAAGAAAAGAACACACTGTACACATCGAAGCTAAGACTGAGCAAAGGCGCACTCGAAATGGGAGAATTGCGCTGCGCAAAAAGCATTACAAAATATAAGTTACTAGTATCTAATAAAACAATTCACATATACCTGAAGTTCATTCGCTAGTTATCTAAGTGAAGCAAAAACCTACAAAATTCCAAAAATTTTGTACGTTAAGACTTTGAGAGTGTGCTTTGTGTGCTTTTTTGAGATGTTCCTGTATGTGGGTTGACATTTGTGATGTCGTTTCTGGAACGGCTGATAACGTGTCAATGCATTCTCTTATACCATTCTGGGGATAACAATTATGAGTAATGAAGTAACATAGGCTTTAAGCATGCACCAATAATGTCCATAAATTTAACACTGTAGGTTTTATTTTATTTTATATTCTTAAAAAGATGTTTCTTTAGATAGTCAAATTTTTGAAATTGTGGTTAATCAAATTTCATTAGAAATAATATTGCATCAAGATTATTAATAACTATGAATTATTAATATTTATGATTAATATTTATCCATTGAACTAATTTAATGTGTGATTTTAAGAAAGGATTATTAATTATAGATTTTTTTTGTGGTTATTCAATAATATTATTGTTTGTTTTGTGAAAGTGAAAATTAGCAACGCAGTTTTAAAAGGGCAGCCATTGTTTTACACCCATACATTTTATACTCACTCCTTTTGTGCATACAGGTTTCATGCCCAAACGTTTATATGATCACATCTTTAATTTATCATAAATACTACCATATCAATTGATTGATGCAAGTTTTAATTTAAGACCCATTTGCGCACTTAAAAAAACTAGTTAATTTCATAATAAGAGGTCAGTCATCAGTCATTCTCAAAAGAACTCTTGTTCGCCAGTTGCATTTCATTGTCGTGGCATGCTATTTACAGTGCATCTAAAGCATTAGTCTACACGTGGTCTGCATCTGGTCAATCTTTTCGGGAAACGTTCGTCTATTCCCGAGAGGGTGTTTCCGAATTCCGAACTATGAGCGATTCGTGATCGCCTGATAGTTGTTTCATCTGGAGGGGAAYTTGAAACACACGTGACTAGTGTATTTCCGCATTTTTTGGGTGTTAAGCAATTGTTTTCATTCTACTAGAGCATTTATAGATATAATAACAGTATACTTACTCTTCAATTTATTCAAATTTGAATAAATATTGTGAAGAGGGCCTGTTCTTTTGGTAAGAGTTGTGAAGCAAGCAACTCTCAGTTGCTATCTCTTCTTCTCGTTCCATTGTTTCAACTTGGTGGAAACCTCTAAACTGAAATTTTAATTATTTTCTAAAACTAATTACATTTTAATCCTTTCATAACAATGAAATAATAAACAACAACAACTCAAAATAATTAAAAAACATCAAGGAAAATACTGTGCAATTCAAATAATTTCTATATTAATTTTTTCTAAATTTTACCTTCTATCATTTCAAAGCACTTGAATTTGAGGGGATTTTTTCACCAGATGAAAGGAATTGACCTTTCATTATGGAAATTATAGAAATTACTCGTTTGATTTGCATAATATTTCCATGTGGAATATAATAGTAATAATAATAATTRTTATTACTGTACATTTAAACAGAGTGATAGATTTTCTCCCCAGTTACTTATCTAGATTGTATTTTTCTACGTGACACCAAAATTCTGTTCCTTTTCTTCATTTTCCATGATCAGAGGTAAACACAACAYAAATTCAAGATCTGTTTGGTTTCAGTTTTGCCTTATCGTTTCAACCCGACCATGTGGTTTTGAAGCTCGCGTAACATTTCATTAAAATTGTGTCATAGAAGTTCCTGTTCAAATCTTGCTGAATATGCCAGTCAAACCATTGTAAAATTGTTTTTTACAAGTTCATTTTCTTGGTTTTTGAGCAATTTCTTCRTATGATTTGTGTGAGGAGAAAAATCATTATTATGCTTGAATGTTTCAAGCTATTTTACAACTTAAGACAGCCGTAAGCTTTATTTTCCTTTTGTGTTTTCTTGATTCCAAAGTCTGAATTGTACTATCCTGTTGTTCCCATGTGAAAATGTTCCAGCTTTTCATCAAGTCGGTCTATAACTTTTCCTGAATTTTATATTCTTCAGCTCACAATAAAGTCCCTGCTCCAAGAAACAGACTTGTATCAAAAAAATGCTTCAAGCATTTTGAATTCCCAGTTTCAAATCTTGCTGAAAACAATGTAGGAAGACTTGAATTTATAGGAAATCCTCTTTGATAGGAACCAGCTTGATTCACTCTCATTCTGATGTCATCTTGTGCTCAAATGGCTTGTAAATCCAATCGTTCAAAATTTCCATAGCTTTCCCTATATCAAAGATGATCAATTAAGTATTCCATGTACCATGTGCAATGAATGTTGGTTTGCTTCCAAAGTCCGTTTATACAATACGACCATTCATCCATAGCAGGCGTGGTTTCAACTGGAACGTGACTGGATTATTTCTTGGTTCAAAAACGAAATAAACTTTATTGTAACAGCCGATTTCTTTATACGAACTAAGTGCAATAAATATTATGTTGTAAAGGGGAATTTTGGGCGTTATGTAATGAAAATAGAGCAAAATACTTTGACTATTTGTGAAAATTTCCCCTTATTTCCTGGTGGGAGAAGAGAGAGGACTGGGGTGGTGTTGGCTTTGAATTTTCCACAGGAAGCCCARTAGAAATATTATTATTTGGAAATACACCAGTTTCACAGACTCAAGTGAATAGTTAAGTGGGAAAATATTATCATATAATTATATGTTTATGGGATTTTCATTGATTTTCTAATTATTATATTCTGGTTCTAATATTGAAAATAGTTTAAAGTTTTAAAATAAATTGTGTACCCATAACCATGATATTGATGTCTTTGAAGGTTTCTATATAATAGAATGTGACAGCGTCAGTCCAGTGTATTAACTCTGCTATAATAGCTGGAAATATATTATATTTTGCTGCCACTGAAGTTCAGAAAGTTGTTTAAGAAATTTTCATATGTTACTAAAACTGATGGGTCCTGGTACTAATACTGCTACACCATGATACCCTTGAAATTTCACCTTCAAATTTTATTGTTAAC